TAATAAGTAAAAGTAATTTAGTAAATTAGAAATGTATAAGATTTTTGTATTTAAAATTGCAATATAAAAAATTAGAAAAAATTAACAAAAGTAACTGAAAAGAAATAATTTGTATTTTTTTAGTACGTAATTGTAGCTGTAATATACAATACTTTCTAGAATCAATGACTTGCAATTAATTTGTTAGTTATTTCTTGAGAAAAAAAATTATAACCGTAATTAGTTACTTTTACAAAGTAACATTCATAATTCTGGTAGTAAGACATAAGTGAAGATGCGAAATCGTGCCAAGTATAGCAATTCGGGTTTGAAAACTTTATAAACGTTATAAATTGTGTAATATCAAAGTTTTTAGTTGAAACGTCAATCGAAATAAGTGACTTCACGTCCGTATCAACAATATTAACTCACATATTTCTTCTAAGAAAGATGGGCTAATAATTAAAAGCATAAGCGAACGTCACTTGTCTAAATTGTTTCAAATGGCCCTATTGTTGATAGCTCATGATGTTGTGCAAAACACAAATTAAACGATAAGCGAACGATTTGCTGAATCAACTGTCCCATGACGGACGTTGCAATAAAATTTGCAGCACACATATCTAAAACTCGAAATTTAATACTACTGTATCTATTGTACTTAGAATTGTAGATTATATTAATATTCTCGTGTTAGAAGATATGGAATAAAGCGAGATCACGAGACCCGTTACACCGCGATCGGACGATTCGAATAGTCATTTAGATTGAGTAATTGTAGGACTAGAAAGATCCGTTTATTCGCTCGATTATCAAGATGTAGATGGATATTGTGACGTTTCTAGCATATCATATAACTCGAGAATTTACACGGGGTGATGAAAACGCAAGCAATTATACATAACTTCACATTTCGTATTGTCTTAATGTGCTCTAATAATTCCTTGAACACGTTGCACGTATAAAGTTGTCTACCTTCACACACAATGCAATTACGCAATACATTACCTTTACTATAAGCTCGATTATAGGCTGCGCACACAGCTGTTTTATTTAAAAATTTATTCACATCTTCAAACTTGGGGAAGATGTCTCTCTCAAGTGTTGCCTACCATTTATTTAGGCCCAGTTTCACAACTTACGGTTATCTCTTAGGTTCAACTTATTCATTATCTCTATCTAAAATTAGAAAGAGATGCGAAACAAGTTGAATCTCGGTTAAGAGTTAACCGTGAGTTGTAAAACTGGACCTTAGTGTGGATTTCAGTAATTTACTTTCTAAAATCTGTGCGATCATTTGGCCGACTGTGATGCTTAAAGTATCTAATAACGCGATGTTACAAAATATCATCAGCGAGTTTTGTCAAACAATCTGTGCTCTCTTTGTCTAACGTAGATAAGTTTACAACAACCGAGAGGTATCGTGTGATCACTTGATCAGTATTCACCTCGTACGAACGTTCCAACAATTCCCAAGCATTCGTATATATTTTACTCCGATCGCAAAGATTTTTATTTTATTTTTTGTTACCAGCTTTATCCATTAATATCGATTTCAAATAATGTAATTTATCGACGTCTGTTAAATTCGTTTGTGATCTTATCATTGAACAAAACACGTTTTTAAATGTCAGCCAGTTCTCGAATTTGCCATCAAATGTCGGTAAAGGAACTTCGGGTAATTTCATATGTCTTTTTTTAAAGGTTGTTACGGATTTTGTATTCTCAATTCTACCCAAATAACAATTCGTGACAGCTTATATTGCTCTCATACGTGAGTATCATGTCATGCGTGCAAAAATGTCATCAAGTCACAATGTGGTGGAAGCACAAGTGTCAGCGTAAAAGATGTCACAGTACAATCACACATGATACTGGCATATTGTACGAACATAAAAAATCATATTATTAACAAATTTGTTTATAATAATTAAAGTTTTTGTTTATTAGATATAATATAACAATTAGATTTATTTTTAAAATTAATTCAAAAATGTAATAAAAAAATACGTTTAAAAGAAAAAATAACACTAATTTGGTTATCATTTTATAATAATTGTTATTAACAGCAGGACCGAACCGAAATTGGAACCCTTTTTTTTAGTGAACCGAAACCGAAACCGTACCCAAATTTTGTATAGTTTATAATACCGAAATCGTAACCGAATAACTGGCAAAATTTTATAGTTTTTTCGGTTCTTTTTTTAGTTATTAATTTTTATCCTTGTTCCTAATCTTTGTTTTGCTCGTTTCTTCGTTAAAATCACCAATGTTCAATCCAGTATTATCATCGTCAGCTTTCTTAATAACCAGAATGTAAATATCTCCAATACCTCATATGATATAAGAAATCTGGCGGGATCGCGAGACATATTTAATGTAAACTTTTTTTAAGATACTAATATTTCTTTTATTTAGAATCTCTCTTACGAAACGATATAGAATAGAGTAAAAGGCACAGTATTTTAAGAGATCCTTCAGTTGTATTCTAATAAAATAAATTTTATTAAAAACTCCAAGAGCTCCAAGATAAAAGTATAACACCTTTTAGATGTTAATGAAGTATACATTTTAAAATAGCTCTCATATCGGTTGCACGCGTACGGCACTTACGCGTGCAGTCGATATAAAAATGTCAATTAGAGCACTCACATGTGCCTCATATGTGCAGTATTCACGTGTGGGAGCATTTTGTTATCTGAGTAATTTCGTCGCTCGGCATTGCCTTTATCTGCTAGTCATGTTAGTCACGTTTAATTTGTTTCCAACACTGCCTGCAAGTGAGTACTGCACTCGTTCCTGAATATTCGAATTAATGTAAGCCGATCGGATGATGACACTATCTGGTCAAATGTCCGAAATCAGGAAAATCATATCTCGGGATAGCATACAATGATTGGTTCTTGTGTAATAATCCTATCTCGTACGTGGGGTTCTCGAACCTCACAGGAGGCACCAAAATACATTTTGTATGTAATAAGTCACATTATGTAATAGTTGATACCAAATCGAACATATATTTGATTCTCAGTATAATCACGTAACATTAATCGAATGTTTATTTTCAGCACTTTCGATATGTAATATTACATACATATGTAAGCATTATTTTAGCCTACGGTTTGTGAACCTGAGACAGTATAGAACCAACGTGGATATGCGATAGCATATGTCTGAGATAGTCGTTTTGGATCGCAAATTATATTTGATATGTGCTCGTATGTGACGAGAACAGAAGGGCATCGTGGCACTCGACTTGAATGAATTTCCTTTCTCGTCAGCTCTCAATGATTGTGCATCTCTTGTAGAAAAGTCCTGACACTACTAGTAGTAGACACTATTAGTAGGTAGTATTTTGAGGCACTATTGCATTATTGCACTACTGTACATTATTGCACATTACTGCACCGCTACATTATTGCTGCAATGTAGTAGTGTAGTAGTATAAATAGTGCCTCAAAATATTACTGCGCAGTAGTACTTTTCTACAAGGAGTATTCGTCACGTTTTCTGAAATCGTCTGAATTCTGCTGATCCATAGATTACAAGAAGACGCGATAATGACGACAGCAATGTAGAGATATTGACCCAGTGCGACCAAACTTATATCTAGGCCTAGACCTAAAGTAAGTCTTCAACTAAACGTTTACGTAGACTTGTATGATGTTTCCGAATCCAATGTAAACCGTATTTAGTCCTCATGTCAATCCCATCTACATGAGGTACAATCGCGGTACAAATTGCAAATTATGCTTTCATATATCATTTTATATCGTGCGATATATAAAATTGACTACATTCCGTCATTTCACGAACAAATCTGCACTGTGCGAGTCTCTAATGCTATAAAGTGCAAGTATAAAATAAGTGTAGTACAACTATCCGGGAAAAAAAGCTTTTACAGTTATATAAAATTACAGTAAATAGAAGTAACTCGTTACTTATAACAATTACTTTTTTGGTAACTTTACTGGTAATTACGTTACTTTCCTTTTTGATAACTGTAACGGTAATGTAGTTACATTTTTTTTTATAACGGTAAAATATTTTACAGTTACTTTTACCCTTATTTTGCACACAATTGAACACGATTTGGATTAAACACAAGTCACTCATAGCGCTCGAGACTAAAAAGCCTTTAGGCATCCGTCTGTTGTGATTAGTGATCATCGATTTTAAAAAAGTAATGGAAAAGTAACGAAAAAATATTTTTTTTAATAACTCGTTTTAGTGCAACACAAATTAGCAACAGAATATCATTAAATTTTTAACTATGTCCCAACTCGATTTGAGATGGTGGAAGTTAATAGGGATCAAGAACGCCGAACGTCTTTCGATGTATAACCGCATACACTTCTGCTTCTCGCACTATTATTGATTGATATCGTACACATGAATAAATATATGCGCGCGCGCGCGTGTGTGTGTGTGTGTGTGTGTGTGTGTGATATAAGCCGCTTATCGTTTAATTTGTATCGTGTATGACTGTCTATCGTGCACGAATTGATCTATGCAACACTTTATCTTAAAATATTTCGCTTATTATTCTTAATATTCTTAAAATACTTTGTATATAAAATGTGCAATTATATTGCTAAAGTTTATAATTGTAGTATACTTTGACAAAGTGCACAATTATTTCTACATTAAAATTTCGTTTAGCATTCAATTTTCTGTATTGTATGTCATGTTTAACCGGTAATTTTGCGATGCAAAATAATTTATATATATATATAT